GCCTTGCCGAGATCACCTCGGCGTCACGACCAGGACACGTGGCACCTCGGCTGACATGTCGGCGTCACCTTGCCACGTGTTGGTACTCAGAAAATATATCCCCACAACTGCCTCTAGGTTCTATTACCTCGACATCCTGAGGTGATGGAACCTACACTGTTCGTTCATCTGTGCCCCTCTGTCCGAGATCAAACTCGCCGACCTCAAAGTTCCCTAGACCTTACTGTCCACTGTCAAGTGTGAGCGAAGAAGGATGAGAGAGAGGAATAAAAGAGTGCATTTTGAAGAGAGGAGAGATAGAACAAATATCACAGCTTTCTTGGGTTTGGTCTGAGAGAGATAGATAGGAGAGAGAAAAGTGTTTGATTTTGGAGTGGGTTTTGAAGAGAGAGTGGTTGCCGACGCCTTCTATCAAATCCGGCCATTCGACCCCAAATTTCGACCTACCAAGTTTTTCATAAATTTTATAGGTTAATAAAACAAAACATCACACATAATTTAAAATCATCATATTATTTCTATCAAAAAAAATTAAAAATATATATTTTTTTTTAAATGAGACTTTTTAATTATAAAATTAAAAAATCAATCCATACGCCAAAAGTAAGACGCGAGAGAGAAAAGAGAGTGGGTAGATTGATGAAAAAACTCAAAAAGAAAGAGAGAGATATTTTAGAGGGAAAAGTAAAAAAGAAAAAATCACCTTAACCTTTAGATATTGTAACTATAATCGGAACAGTTGGTTCAAAATTTATTTCTGATATTTTGAGACATTTTAAAAATCTTCTTGCCTTTTATATAAATTTTATTTAGACGAAAATATACCTATTATATTTAAACAGTCTGTGTCAATTTTAAATCAAATTTATAATTATAAAATGACATATGAAACTGTAAAATATGAGTCATTTATTTTTAAATCAGATCTATAATTATAAAATGACATATCAAATTGTTTGAGTGATTTTCTGATCACACTGCCCGCTTAGTAACCAGTTGTAGAGCACCGGCAGAATAGATGGCACCTTTCCAAGAAGCTCTGTTTCATTGTTAATCACCATTGTTGTTTTACCCGTTGTTTCCGAATCATCTTCTTGAACACACACTGTTCACACATCTGTTGATTTCTGCCACTGTTCTTGGCTTGACACACTTGTGCAATCTTTTTGTCTTAATTTCCTGATAGCTTCATCACCATTCTTGATTACGAATTACATTCTTGTTTCTGTTTTCTGTGTCTTTTACTCCTTGTACCTTGTACTTTGTCCGTCTTTGTATGCTTTTAATCCGGCCGACGTGCCATTTTTGTAGTCTGAATAATTTATTTTTTAATATTCAGGCCGAAGTGCCTTCTTTCTTCTTTAAATGCATTTCTCTGATTTCTTCTTTGAATGTATGTTTTCTTTTTTCTGCTCTTGTATGATTCTATACTTAGAATAATTTGCATGTCTTCAAAGTACACCTTGACTGTGCAATCTCTTCGGGTAAAATACTTCTGTCACAACTTCTAATCTTGCTCATCTCGGCCTTGTCCTAACACTTGAAAATATTGTAACAAATATTTTCACAAGTGTTGCTTAGGACTTGTCACTTTCTCAATGTCTTCTATCAAGACTTCAGTTTTCCATATTTCAAGTTTTGACAACCTGGTAGTCTCGGCAAGTACGCAGATATTGCTTGAACTTGACTTTAGCTTGTAAATTTTTCTCAAAAATTTCATCAAGTGTTTAACCATCATCCTTTACCATAACCTCGGTTTAATTATAACTTGTAAATTCACACAGAATTTCAACAAGTGTGTAAACCAATCTTCTTCTGATACGACCTTGGTTTAACTTCAACTTGTAAATTCACACAGAATTTCAACAAGTGTTAAATATCACATCGGTTTAACTTCAACTTGTAAATTCACACAGAATTTCAACAAGTGTTAAATATGACCTTGGTTTAACTTCAACTTGTAAATTTACACAGAATTTCAACAAGTGTTAAACACGACTTGTAAATTCACACAGAATTTCAACAAGTGTTTAAATATCACATCGGCTTAACTTCAACTTGTAAATTCATACAGAATTTCAACAAGTGTTAAACATCATCTCGGTTTAACTTCAACTTGTAAATTCACACAGAATTTCAACAAGTGTTAAATATCACATCGGTTTAACTTCAACTTGTAAATTCACACAGAATTTCAACAAGTATTAAATATGACCTCGGTTTAACTTCAACTTGTAAATTCACACAGAATTTCAACAAGTGTTAAATATGATCTCAGTTTAACTTCAACTTGTAAATTTACACAGAATTTCAACAAGTGTTAAATATGACATTAGTTTAACTTCAACTTGTAAATTCACACAGAATTTCAACAAGTGTTTAAATATCATATCGGTTTAACTTCAACTTTGTAAATTCACACAGAATTTCAACAAGTGTTAAATATCATCTCGGTTTAACTTCAACTTGTAAATTTACACAGAATTTCAACAAGTGTTAAACATCATCTCGGTTTAACTTCAACTTGTAAATTCACACAGAATTTCAACAAATGTTAAATATCATCTTGGTTTAACTTCAACTTGTAAATTCACACAGAATTTCAACAAGTGTCAAACATCATCTCGGTTTAACTTCAACTTGTAAATTCACACAGAATTTCAACAAGTGTCAAACATCATCTCGGTTTAACTTCAACTTGTAAATTCACACAGAATTTCAACAAGTGTCAAACATCATCTCGGTTTAACTTCAACTTGTAAATTCACACAGAATTTCAACAAGTGTCAAACATCATCTCGGTTTAACTTCAACTTGTAAATTCACACAGAATTTCAACATAAACATCATCTCGGTTTAACCAACTTGTAAATTGCTACAAATTTCAACAAGTGGTAAACATCATATCGGTTTAACCAACTTGTAAATTACTACAAATTTCAACAAGTGGTAAACATCATCTCGGTTTAACCAACTTGTAAATTGCTACAAATTTCAACAAGTGGTAAACATATTCTTCTTCTCTCTGCCCCCTGCATGGCTTCCACATACTCCTTTGCGAACCTTATAAAAGGTCTTCAACCTGGCTAACTGCAGTCAAACCTTGTGTGTTTTCTTTTTTATCTTCTAGGATCTGAGATTTGCTCACTGAACTCTTCTCTTTTCGGACTTAAGTGCCTAGATCTTGTCTGCTAGAATCTTGGATCTGCTCACTCAGGTTGAGCTCTTCTCTTCTCGGACCTACTCATCTAGGCCGAGATCATGTCTTCTAGGATCCGGGATCTGGAATCCGGGATCTGCTCACTTAGGTTGAGGTCTCGTCTTCTCGGGCCTACTTGTCTAGGCTGAGATCATGTCTTCTCGGATCTGGGATCCAGGATCTGGAATCCAAGATCTGCTCACTCAGGATGAGTTCTTCTATACTTGAATGTTATCTCCTTGGGAGCGCTTATGCCTCCTGTCTTTGCATCCCTTCTGGAAAGGTCTTCGTTCCTCCGTAGGTATCTATGCTTCCATACCTAGAGGTCATCTTCGTTGTAATATCCACTTCGATCTGTTGTCTTTGGTGCGTCACCTTCCTGGCCAGCGTCTTTCACTCCGTGACTCTGGTCACGAGTTTCTGTGTTGCGATTGTCCCCTTTAACGTTGAGGTTGATAGATCTCTCATTCCCAACAGGAGCGTTATCTCCAGTCTGATCCTTCTGTCCGTCATTAGCCATCTATTCTTCTTTCTTTCCCACAGACGACGCCAAATTGTATGGGTGATTTTCTGACCACACTGCCCGCTTAGTAACCAGCTGGAGAGCACCAGCAGAATAGATGGCACCTGGCTGACCTGCAACAGAAAGAGAAGATTCCGGCGGTAGTTCGTCCACCCGGGGGCACTCTGACGATCAAGTCAGTATATCTCTCAAAGATAAATCAAGTGCTAAACTCACAAGCTTGAGTATCAAAAAGCATACCTTAGACTCATGGGGGTGCCTCTCTTTTATAGCCAACATAAACCTAGTCCCAATAGAAGCCTAACTTCTATGGACTCAGGATTACTGCTAATCTTGGACTCCCAATAAGTTTAGGATAAACTCTCTAAGAGTCTTATCTTAATACAAACTGAAGTCTTCTCTCATTCTAAGACTCTTGTCCTTCATCTAGGTTGAGTTCCCTTTTCATTCTAGGACTCTTGTCCTTTATCCACTTATCTCGGATTCCGATATCTTCGGAGATAACCTCGGCCTTGCCGAGATCACCTCGGCGTCACGACCAGGACACGTGGCACCTCGGCTGACACGTCGGCGTCACCTTACCACGTGTTGGTACTCAGAAAATATATCCCCACAGAGAGTATGTCAGTATTTTCAGTCCAAATTTTTAACAACAATTAATAAAAGGATCACATTAAAATACAAGTTAAGTAAGTAGATATTGAAAAATGAAATTTAAATAAAAAAATAACAAAACAGTTTTGCTACATATCCAAAAAAAAAATTAGAATAGTGCTATTCAAATAAAAAAATTAAATTCATTTTTCACGTCCAATAATCAATCAACAAATTATTCTCATGTGTTATTTTTCTCTCTTATATCTGCTCTAATTATCAACTAATTATCTCACTAATATATCATTGGGTCTAAAAAGTGGATTTAAAAAATAAGTTTATATATCATTTTTCAAAAAATTATTCTGAATTTTACCGAGAATTAAAATATGTAAACAGGATTCTCTCAGTATATAACCCACAACATAATACCTTTAGGGAGGAGTAATGCTAGGAATCATGAAAAAAAATCATGAAAATGATCATCAAATATTCTCCATCGTTAGATTATATATGCAAAAAAACACTACACTAATCAAAGGATGAAAAATCTTCCTGAACCATATCATGATATTTTTTTCATAATCCATAATATTATTCTTGCTTAAAAAATATTTCATTGATGGTCATGGTCATCATGATAATAACAACAGAATGAGAATAAGTTCACATTTAAAATGGTTGGTTCAAGTTTACCAGTGCAAAACAATCTGTTTCAATTGATTCATCAAAACACAACAGAAATCTCTATTAGTGTGATCATCTTCTATATAAACATGCACATCCAACAAACTTTTGAGCATCAAAATGAGTCTAATTCAAAAACAAAACCATTGTTCAAAGAACTTTTCCATGAACTCTGCAACAACCCTTTTACTTCGAAGTTTTCCTTTGTTTTTTTTCCTTATCTTCTCAACCCCTCTTCCTGCATCACCAAACAAGATTCCAAAGCTGAGAACATTCCTCCGAGACCCGGCTAATACCATATCAGCCTCTGTTTCAGAGGACTATGAAACTTTCTTTTACACCCAAACACTTGATCATTTCAATTACAGGCCTGAAAGCTATGCCACTTTTCAACAAAAGTATGTGATCAATTTCAAGTACTGGGGCGGCGCAAATACAAGCGCGCCAATCTTCGCTTACCTTGGTGCAGAGGCTCCATTGAGCAATGATCTAGGAATTATTGGATTTCTCTCTGATACAGCCCCTCAATTTAAAGCTCTCCAAGTTTACATAGAGGTACGAAACAATATATAGAAATTTTGAATTATTGCTTGTGATTGGTTATAACCCAAGGTTCTAAATCGCGGTATCGGGTAACGTGACGGTATCGATCGCAGAGTATCGGTATCGGTAGTATCGATCGGTACATATCGGGAATCGGGTGTCGCGGTGGTGAAATTTTAAAAATCATTTCAAAAGTTTTTCAACTTTTTCTTTCCCGTACCGGTCCAAACCGGTGAGTATCGGCCCGTCGCGGCTTGTGTAACGCTTACAGGCCGATACGTACCGGGACTCGGCCGATACTCCTGTGATTTTCAATCTCAGTGGTATATCGGCCTGTATCTGTCGCGGTACCCCATTTTTCCGATGCGTATCGGCCGATATTTAGAACTATGACCCAATTTAATCCCAATGTCAATACTGATCTTCATTTTTTTTTTCCCGTTAGCATCGGTACTATGGAGAATCGGTACCATTTGGAACATTTGAGGAGGCATTGAAAAATGAAAGTATTCGAGGGTATTTCAACTCGGCTCAAGCTATAACAGATTATGCAGAGGTGTTGTTGTACCTCAAGAAAAATTTGTCTGCAAATTATTCTCCAATTATTGTTGTTGGAGGGTCATATGGGGGAAGTAAATGACCAAAAAAACTAGTTGTTTATTAACTTTGTATTCTTCATGTCTTTTGTTTTTGTTTTTATTGTTGTTGTTGTGTGTGATTATAAAATTTCAGTGTTGGCTTCATGGTTTCGGCTGAAGTATCCTCATATTGCACTTGGAGCTGTGGCCTCGTCGGCTCCTATCCTTTACTTTGATGACATTACTCCACAAAATGGATACTATTCCATTGTCACCAAGGATTTCAAAGTATGATTACTCATACTTACACTTGTTTGTTTTGACGAAAAGTATTTTTTAAAAAATATTTTCCCATTTTTTACTTTGGTACGACAAATTACGAAAAATAATGAAAATTAATTTTCTTCATGATTAGCTGAAAATGAATTGATTTACTTGTTAGAGGTGGCAAACATTTTTTAAATTCAAGCCATATAACACAACCATTCTATTTTCACTACCTTTCATTGTTGCCACCGCCATTGGTACTACCATTATCACCACCACCACTACCTTAACAATGCCACTTTTCAAAGATGAAAAATAATTTTCACACTAGAGCTGTGACAACCACCATTTTCACTACTATCACTGCCACCATCAGCATCATTGCCACTACCACTAGCATATCATTTTTAGAGTCACAACTAAACCTATGAAAACATTTTCTATTTTTTTTTTTGTAGAAAATAATATTTCAAAAAATATTTTCTCTTGAAACAAATGAATGATCTTCACATTTGATTTCTATACCTTTTGATGAGGAAAAAATAAGGAAAACAAAAATTGGCATAATGGGGTGGTGTTGCTTGCAGGAAGCTAGTGAGAGTTGCTATGAAACAATAAGGCAATCATGGTCTGTAATTGATGAAGTTGCTTCCCAGCTCAATGGCCTCTCAATCCTGAGCCAAAGATTCAAAACTTGCGCGTAATAATGAGCATAATCTTGTTAATTTTTATGTTTACTGATTTCTGTTTATATTTTAAAAAATTTGAAAACTGTAAACAAAAATAGGTTTGTGAACTGTTTTTATTTTCAAAAAAATAACAATAAAATGTAATGCCAATTCTATCCTTGTTTTCAGGAAGTTGAACACATCGGTTGAGCTGAAGAACTACTTGGACTCATTATATGCCACTGCAGCTCAATATAATGAACCGTCAACATACCCAGTGACTGTGGTCTGTGGCGGCATAGACGGAGGAGGAGCATCTCAAGAAACTGATGTTCTTGGCCGGGTTTTCTCAGGTGTCGTTGCCTACTTTGGAAACAGGTCATGCTATGATACAAATTATTTCAATGATCCTTCTGATGAAACAAATGTGGGATTTCAATGGCAAGTAAGTTACATTTCAATCATTTTTTTTTTCCCATTAAAATTCGACGCAAAAAAAAACTTCATTTTAGATATTGGACACGATCAACGTCAAAGTTCAAGAATTGGATTCTGCCAATAGGGTGAAAATTCCCACAAAAGAAGTTGGAATATTATTGATGAAATATTGTACTTGTAATATTCTACGTGTTGGGAAAAACTACTCACATTACATAATTTCACATTGCATATCGCAAAATTATGAGATGAACAAAACAAACCTTCAATCCCAGAAAAAATAACATGCTGAATAAAATACAGATAAAATATAAAATGGTTAAAGGAAGCAAACCGAAACCTGTGTGATACTACAGTCTCCTTAAAATAGATTCGCCGCCTCATCGTTGGGTGCTGGAGGTACGCCGGCGTCTACTTCCCAGGATACGGCAGTTTTTACCAGCTACAACAGAAGCACCTTCTGATTAGCTTAGCGAACGGACAACGGCAGCACTCTCTTTCAGGAAGAAAATTATAGGAGAAGTAGACTGACAGTGTATGGATGTCAAAAAAAAATTCTATATCTCTTTTCAAGGAATAGGGCCTCCTTTTATACACTATGGGGGAGAGGGGAGGAGCTTCTAGCTATCAAGGCTGGCAACTAATGCTAGCAAAACTGCTCAATCAAAGGAGCCTCTAGCCATCAAGGCTGGCAACTAATGCTAGCAAAACTGCCCAATCAATTTTGTAAAACTGATGAGCCTTAAATGTGTGAGTTATACACACATTTATGAGACAATTTCTTATTCAATCATTTTTCTCCAACAATCCCCCATATGAATAAAAATTGACCGAATACAGCAAACGTTCAACGTTTATCAACAAAGACTCGGAAAGAGAGAGAGCACATAGATTAACTCTGCATCAGAAAAGGTACCTGTAGGCATTGAACTTTTCGTAGTGAAAGCCTATCGGATTTACTGGCTGACCAGTGAACGTGATGTCTTGAACTGTTCTGCCGTTTATGTAAACCGAGACAATAGACCTCACACAGGAGTTAGTCCAACCATTGTTCTTGTTCTCACTGGTGTGTCTGGTATGGCCCTGGAACACTAGCCTGGTTCTGTGAGTGTTTTTAAAGAATTCGGCCTTGGCAATTCTTAAAGAAGCGGCCCCACTTCGCACTCACATAGGTGACCTAGATACGGTATTTCATTATACCACATCATTAAGGTCATTAAAAGCATTAGCTTAACTTTCCACCCCCACAGGGCATCACTGTATAAAGGAATGGGCAAGAGGATTTACCTCTTCAGTGACTCACCCGTTACACGAAGTTAGGTTGTCCCTTTGAACCTAGATCTTGGGATCTCCAGTCAACTAGGTTGGGTTTTTCGTTCCGGTAACCTTTACTAAACGCCTTAACTCCATTCCTCTTGACGACTTTTCTACTAACTCTCAAGTTAACCCTTTGGTTAGCGGATCCGCAATGTTGTCCTTAGACTTGACATAGTCTAGAGAGACAACTCCATTTGAGAGTAGTTGTCGTATGGAATTATGTCTACGATGGATATGTCTAGACTTTCCATTATACATATTACTCTGTGCCCGACCAATCGCTGATTGGCTATCGCAATGAATACTGATAGCTGGCACAGGTTTCGGCCAACGTGGAATATCCTCAACAAACTGGTGAAACCATTCAGCTTCTTTAGTTGCTTTATCTAAAGTAATAAACTCAGATTCCATCGTTGATCTCGAGATACACGTTTGCTTGGCAGATTTCCAAGACGCGGCTACCCCTCCGAGGGTAAACACATAACCACTAGTGGATTTGGAATCTTTTATATCAGATATCCAATTTGCATCACTATACCCTTCTAGTACCGCTGGGTATTTGGTATAATGCAGCCCATAATCCAGGGTGTAATGGATATACCCCACCACTCGCATAATGCCCTTCCAATGAGTAGCATTAGGATTACTCGTGTATCTACTCAGCCTACTAACAGCGTAGGCGATATCCGGCCTTGTACAACTCATCAGATACATCAAACTCCCAATAACCCGAGAATATTCTAATTGAGAGACACTCTCACCATTATTCTTGGTCAAATATAGACTTAAGTCTACCGGTGTCCTAAACATACTTGTATCTGACTTTCTAAATTTCTTAAGTATCTTATTAACATAATGAGCTTGAGAAAGTACAATACCACGAGATGTTCTGGTGATCTTAACACCCAGAATGACATCTGCAAGGCCCATATCCTTCATGTCAAACTTAGAGTTTAACAATCTTTTGGTAGCTTTAATCATTTTATCATTGCTACCAACAATGAGTATGTCATCAATGTATAGACACAAAATGACATAACCTTTGTCAGTGTCTTTAACATATACGCACTTATCACACTCATTGATTTGAAACCCATTTGACAACATAGCATTGTCAAACTTCTCATGCCATTGTTTGGGAGCTTGCTTCAAACCATACAATGACTTGACAAGCTTACAGACTTTCTTACTTTTTCCTGGAGCTGAAAACCCCTCGGGTTGCTCCATGTAGATTTCTTCATCTAAATCTCCATTTAAGAAAGCTGTCTTTACATCTATCTGATGTATTTCTAAACCACGTAAAGCTGCTAGTGCAATCACCATGCGAATGGATGTAATCCTTGTCACAAGTGAATACGTATCAAAGTAATCCAGGCCTTCTCGCTGTCTGTATCCTTTGATAACTAGCCGAGCTTTATATTTGTCAATTGACCCATCCGCTTTCATCTTTCTTCGAAAGATTCACTTACTCCCCAAGACCTTACTGCCTGGGGGTAGATTAACCAACTCCCATGTATGGTTCTGTAAGATGGAGTCAATCTCACTCTTAATTGCTTCTTTCCATAAAGGACTTTCAGGTGAAGTCACAGCTTCATGGAACGTTCGAGGTTCTGCCTCTAACATATAAGTCAAGAAGTCTGGACCAAAAGACTTTGTGGTTCTAGCCCTTTTACTCCTTCTTGGCTCATCTACTTCATCAGCTTGATCATCTACTTGATCAGTTATTTGATCAGCTGTTTGATCATCCATGTGATCATTTATGTGATCGTCTTCGTGATCATCTATTTCTTTCATGGAACTCGAAACCCTGTCTTGGAGACGACACGAAAATATGTCTTCAAAGAAAGATGCACTTCTAGATTCCATGATAGCATTCTTGTGTATATCTGAAATATCAGACTTGTGCACAAGAAATCTATATGCACTACTATTTTGTGCATAACCAATGAAAATACAGTCCACGGTTTTCGGACTTATCCTAACCCGCTTAGGTGTAGGTGCTGCCACTTTTGCATGACAACCCCATATTCGTATTTATTTATATGAAGGCTTGTGACCTTGCCACAACTCATATGGAGTCTTGTCCACTTTCTTCTGTGGTATTCTATTAAGAATATAATTCGCGGAGAGAATTACTTCCCCCCATAAGTTCTGTGGCAACCCAGAACTTATCAACATTGCATTCATCATCTCTTTCAGCGTCCTGTTCTTCCGCTCGGCAACACCATTTGACTGAGGCGAATAAGGCGCTGTGGTTTGGTGAATAATCCCAAATTGAGCACAGGTCTCGGCAAACGGGGATTCATACTCACCACCACGATCACTTCTCAATGCCTTGATTTTCCGGCTTAATTGATTCTCAACTTCATTCTTAAAAAGAATAAATTTATCAATAACTTCGTCTTTACTTTTAAGCAAATACACGTAACAGTATTTAGTGCAATCATCAACAAAAGTGATGAAGTACTTGTTGCCACCACGTGATTGTGCAACGTTCAAGTCACACACATCACTATGCACTAAATCCAAAGGCTGGGTACTTCTTTCAATAGAATGAAAAGAAGACCTTGTCAATTTTGCTTTTACACAAGTTTCACACTTGTGTTGTGGATTAATCTTGAAAGATGGTATGTGATCTAACTTGATTAATCTACGTAAAGAGTCAAAATTTACATGACCCAATCTACCATGCCATAAATTAGGGGACTCAAGCATATAAGCAGCAGAAGAAGAAGCTTTCTCATTAATCTTAGGGATAAGTGTCAGTACATTCAATTTAAACATACCACCTGACATATATCCCTTCCCCACATAGACCCCGCCCTTGGTCAACACGACCTTGTCTGATTCAAACACCATGTGGAAGCCATGCTTGCTTGGGAGAGACCCCGAGACAAGGTTCTTACGAATGTCCGACACAAAAAGGACATTGCTTAAAGTTAGTTCTTTTCATGAAGTCATCTTTAGGATCACCTTGCCTTTACCCTCAACAGCTGAGGTTGCAGAGTTTCCCATAAACAACTTCTCCCCGTTTGAAACCGGTTCGAAAGTTGTGAACATTCTCTTCTCTGTACAAATATGGCGAGTGGCTCCAGTGTCCACCCACCATTCCCTCAGGTTTGACCCCACCATGTTCACTTCTGACACGATGGTTGGCAGATGCATGTCGTCCACACCGTGTGACAATTCCTCAATTTCAGCCATATGTGCCCGATTTTTGTATTGGGGAGGGTTTTTCCTATAGGGCTTCTTCTTCAGACAATCAACTGCCCGATGCCCGTCACTTCCACAGTTGAAGCATTTGCCATCGAACCTAAAAGTAGGCTCCTTTGGCTTGTAGGCCGGCCTTTTGGAGATTCCTCCTCTAACCTCCACCTTTGAGCTTTTGCCTGTCGGTGGTTTTTCTTCACCCCCGAGGACTCGCCATGCTCAACCATGTTGGCTTTGACAGTGGAGGTACTCCCTCCTTTCTTCCTGTTGTCCTCTTCAATCCGGAGCCTGACAACGAGCTCTTCGACTGTCATCTCCTTTCGTTTGTGCTTCAAGTAGTTCTTGAAGTCTTTCAGCCTTAGGCAGCTTCTCAATCAAAGCAGCTGCCTGGAATGACTCACTTAGACCATTCCTTCTGGCATGTATCTCGTACAGAATCACTTGGAGCTCTTGGACGACTCAGGACAGTTTTAGAGTCCACCATCTTTGATGTCCAGGAACCGGCCGACGATAAATTTCTTTACCCCAGCATCCTCGGTCTTGTACTTTTTGTCCAAGGCATCCTACAAACTCCTTAGCTGATTTCTTGGCATAGAACACGTTGAAAAGCGGATCCGCCAAGCCGTTCAGAATGTAATTTCGGATAAGAAGTCTGCTTGTTTCCAAGTGTCCAGAGCCATGAGCTTTCGTTTATCTTGCTCATTCTCCTCGTACGGCTGGTACATCTTCACTCAGAAACCTCGCAAGGCTTAGAGTAGTCAAATAAAACAGCATCTTTTTGCTGCCATCTCTTGAATTCACTCCCGTGAACTTCTCCGGGCGCGTCGTATGATTGAGCGGTCCTCCGGAACAGTCAGAGTAACAATAGAAGGATTGCCAACAGAGGTCACAGTAGGGGTTGGCAAGCCAGTCCCCCGGGTTCGGATCCCCGCCAACATTAGCAGCAGCAGTAGCAGCATCAGAGACAGTTGCCATTTCTGAAAAATTACAGCCGAATTTTTACTATTCTGTATTTCCAGAAATCAAACTTAACACTAGAAAATCCCACAATTGGAAATTTAATTCAAAACTAAGTCTCACCACGTAACCTAGAATCGAACATGGTCAGGAAAGTTTCCAGGAAGACTGGAGGGGTCACACCGGTCCCACTTAAAACCCAGTTAATCTTAGACAAAACTTTCAAGAGCATGTTGACTCTTAGTCCATGGGAAACAACTTTAAGAATTAAATTTTCCAAGGGATGAATTAGGTTAAACACACCAAGTTTCAAACTGTACATGCAATTACAACAAAATTGCTACAATAATTGCAAGCAAATAAAACGTGCTTTACATATTGGTGAATAACCACAAATGAACACTCAAGCAAACAATTGCTTCAAATATTTAGTCCAAATTAATCCTTTTTCCCATTTCCATAGGTATGCCAGCAATAAAGGGTTAGCAGCAAAATATAACAAAACCTCCCTCAGCTTTTCTTTGCTTTTGGCAAAGTAGTGATTGAAGGGGAGGGTACTAGCAAACAAACTGATAAATAACTGTAAGTAAAGATTCAAACCAACCCTTAAGTTACACATCTAGAATTTAAACTAAAAAAAATTGTAAAAAATTAATTACATAATAAACATATAATTAACTATATAAGTTAGAGACCTAAATTTAATATAATTAAACCATATTTTAAATTGGTAAAGGTTACATATGAACTTATGGTATACTAAACATGTAATTAATTGAGGCAAGTTACAAACATTTTATAACTCCTAAATACTTAAATCACATTACTAGGCAAGAATTGCAAATGACATGATTAACATGCAAATAATTCTAGAGAAATTAACATGAATTTAAATATAGGCAAGTTATAAACTTTACAACTCCACACCTAAATTAAAAATTAATAGGTACAAGTTACATGAAAATTTACTACCTAATAAGCATGCTAGAAATGTAAATTACACTAAAAATTAAACCCGAATGAACATGCAATTTATATTGTAAACTAGAAGCATGTGAATTAGAAGCATGTAAATCTAGAAATACAAGGCATGAACCGATACACCATAAATTAATAAATTAATTAGAAAATACAGTGAATTAACGTTGCACCAATGGAACTCTTCTTCTCTATTGATAATAGTGGCCTATTCCATGCCATGGGAAGACCAAACAGTAGCATACACAAAATGACAAAATCAAAAGCTTAACTCTGTGTACATGCATTTAATAAACCAATTAACTCGCTAGTACTACCAGTGGCCAATTACATGCAAAATTATTACACACACCTATGAATCTATTAATCTAATTCTATGATAAACGGCGAATCTATTTTAAGCTTGTTGGGAAAAACTACTCACATTACATAATTTCATATTGCATATTGCAAAATTATGAGATGAACAAAACAAACCTTCAATCCTAGGAAAAATAACATGCTGAATAAAATACAGATAAAATATAAAATGGTTAAAGGAAGCAAACCGAAGCCTGTGTGATACCACAGTCTCCTTAAAATAGATTCGTCGCCTCACCGTTGAGTGCTGGAGGTACGCCGGCGTCTACTTCCCAGGATACGACGATTTTTACCAGCTACAACAGAAGCACCTTCTGATTAGCTTAGCAAACGGACAACGGCAGCACTCTCTCTCAGGAAGAAAATTATAGGAGTAGTAGACTGACAGTGTATGGATGTCAATGAAAAATTCTATATCTCTTTTTAAGGAATAGGGCCTCCTTTTATACACCATGGGGGAGAGAGGAGGAGCCTTTAGCCATCAAGGCTGGCAATTAATGTTAGCAAAACTGCCCAATCAAAGGAGCCTCTAGCCATCAAGACTGGCAACTAATGTTAGCAAAATTGCCCAATCAATTTTGTAAAATTGATGAGCCTTAAATGTGTGAGTTATACACATATTTATGAGGTAATTTCTTATTCAACCATTTTTCTCCAACACTAAGTTTACATCCCTATTTATAATGATAGAAGTGATTTGAATAGAAAATAGCTAGCTAATTTTTTGTTAGACATTGGTTTAGTTTGTTTAGAATGAAATAGATAAAAAGTGCAAGAAAGAAAAAAAAAATTAACTTCTATGAGTTTTTTTAGCTTGAAAGTTGTGGAAAATATAAAAAAATTAATTTTCTTGTACAACCTATATTGTAATTAATTTTTTATTTCTTACAAAAAATACAAGAAAAATTAAATGTGTAAATTATCTATAACCAAACTTTTAAATTTTTTGGTTTTTTTCTTGCAAAATTTTTATCTTAATCAAATGCTTACAAGAAAATATATTTTCTTTTCTATTTTTTTTTTCACTTCATTTTCTTTTACTTTTACTTTCTACCAAATTTTCTTGCTACTCAAACGGAGCCTAGAATAAAAAAAAAACAAGAAAATTATGAAAACAATTTTCCTATTTCTAAAAAAGGGAAATTTTCATAAATGGCAAAAATACAACCCAATAGATGAAATTTGTCCAAAATCGTGGAGTTTCGCTTCTTGAATTATTTCCAATCAAAACTATCAAATTTTTAACAATTACGAACTGATTTGCCAAAATTACATCTTTAACCTTGAACATCAAGTTGACCTTTTCTAGAACTTCTATTAATCTACTACTTGTTTTACATTCGAATAAACTTTTTTTACTATTATGTTGATTAAGACTGGGCTTTATTTGATTGCAATTACATGTTTGTTTGTATAATATATATAAATGTAGATATGTAGTGAGATGGTGTTACCCATTGGTCGAGGCAACAATGACACTATGTTTCCAGCAGCACCTTTCAATCTAAGTAGCTTCATTGAGGACTGCAAGAACTCGTATGGTGTCTTCCCACGCCCTCATTGGGTTACTACTTATTATGGAGGCCATGTATGTATGCCCCTTTTATAATACAGTTAGGTTGTATTTGGATTATGAATTTGAGTAGTGATTTAAAAAAAAAAGAAAAAAAAGTGCATGCAATATCCATATGCAATGTGAATGAAATTTGAGTAGTTACATTTCACATGTTTTTTCTTTTTCTCTTTCTAAATCTTTATCAAAATTCATGAATTAAATATAATTTTATTCTAATTATACAGAATTCGATTATAAAATCGGATATGACCTTTTTACATGGCTTGGGATACACATATTTAGTGAGACCCACCCATCTGAGAGGGTTATGTCTAATGATAAAATTTTGTATACATAGAATTTTTTGTTAGGATAACTTTATCAAATGAAAAATGGCAATTTACACTGGTGGTCGTTACATTTTGCCCCTTTTGTCATTTGGTCCCTCAATTTTCAATGAACTTAATTTTTATCCTTAATTTTAAATTTTATGTCATTTTGATCCAATTGATAATGCCATTCAGCTTGTTTGGTTTGAGTTTTCTGAATTTACTTTTTAGAAAATTAAAAATTTTTGTTTTTCATATTTTTTATTTTCATTGAATTTTTTTAATATTTTAAACAATTTTTTTAAAATTTTTTTTAGGTACATCTAACATAAATACACTTAAAAAGTATAATATTTGTGAAAAAAATCATACAAAATTCACTAAATACCAAAAATATAAAAAAATATGAAAATTTAGTATATTTTTCGTACTCTTGTGTATTTATTGATTTTTTAAAATATTTTTTTACAAATATTTTTACTTTTTAGATACATCTAAGTAAAATACATCTAAAAAAGTAAAAAAAATTGCTTAAAAATTTAAAAATATTCACTAAAAATAAAAAAATGAAAAATAAAAAACTCAATTTCCAAAAAATTAAATCCAAAAAATTAAAACCAAACACAATGATTAGTATCTTTGACGGAAAATAATTATTGAATTGGTTAAGTTTAACTCACTGAGTTTATTAAATTTATAATTTTACTCTAAAAAATATGACACATGCCACTTATATTCATATTTTTCATAAAAAAATACTAAGAGTTGTAATCAATTGGACCAAATTAAAACAAAATCATAAATTTAAGATCAAAATCAAGCCAATTGAAATTATAGGGACCAAATTGACACAAAGACCAAAGTAGAGAGACCACTGTCACAATTTTCCCAATGAAAAATGATTTGCAGAAAAATATTTTACATAAAAAAAAACTCAGTTAGACTGATGTTTTAATATTCTTACTATTATAAACCACAATGATAGATAAATTTTGTACAGAAATTCCATTTGTATATTTGTATATCATTACCCTTATCAAATTAGCAATGACATGTACCACGAAAAAATATTCAAAAAAGTAATTAGAATTTAACAGTTTTCTGAGTAATTACTTTAGTATGCAGTATTCCTATTATCCAGTATGAAACTTATAAGCACATCTTTTACACCAAAATACAGGATATAAAATTGGTTCTCCACAGGTTTGCTAGCAATATCATTTTCTCCAATGGCTTGAGAGATCCTTACAGCAGTGGAGGGTAAACAAAATATGCATTTTGATTTTTGTTTGTTTTCTTTAGTCAATATATATATATATATATATATATTTGTTTTTAATGTTTTACTTAACACACTAATCTTTGTACCTATAACCTAGATTAACTGTTTCTCATCTTAAATTTTAGGGTATTGGAAGACATATCAGATAGTGTTCTTGCTGTTTCTACAGTTAATGGTAATTGATCAAGCACTCTTATCCTCCAGATAACTTAATATATATTTTTACTTGTCCATTTGTATAAGTTTATGTATATAAAATTAAATTAAAAAAAAATTAAATACGCATGTTGGTACAATGGGATCCTATTTTATTTTTTTGTACTGTCCATTTGTATAAGTTTACAAACATAAAATTAGGTTACAAAAAAAGAAAAAAAAGAAAAAAAAAAGAAGCATAAATTAACACGATAAATAAGTGGTCAATATTATTTGATTGAATAATTAACTTATATATGTATATATATTTGTAAAAATAATGTGAAAACTAAATGGCTCACATCTTTTTTTTTTAATCAGCAAAGAAAATCTTTATTGATAATGAAATCATACATTACATTATTAATTAGTTTTTGTTGTTTAGGTTTGTATATAGAGAATTATTGGATGGCTCTATAATTGCCGATGCAACTTGAAAGATATGTGATATTGAAATTTTTACAAGTTAATTATTGAGATTAGTGTAGAGACCAAAGTTTTATGTGCTTCATTAGAAGTTATGACTTGGACCTCTTATTTTCCTTCATTGTATCAAAAAAGAGATATGTTATAAATATAATTTATATATAAAAAATAATATATCTTATTTACACCTATTTATTGGAAATCAAAAAATCATCACTATGGATCATATTGGGAGGAGTATTTTAAGAACAACCAAGAAATTCTATTGAATGAAACGACCTTTTTATTTTTGGTACAATTCAATGAATTTACTAGTTCCTTTTAGGAGGCTCATCATCATACCATTCTATATGAATTTCTTTTAATTAATTAATTATTTATAAAAGTACTCTCTGTTTAACATTTGTAAAAAGAAATTAGGCAAAATCTATTGTACTTACCTGTGGTATGGCTTGATAACACTTTATCCCACTGCCTTTTGAAAATAACTATATGTCTCTCATATCATTTTGGACTAAAATGCCACTGTTAACACCGTTAAGTATACATGTGAAATGATTATGATATCCTCAAACCTATATTTTTAGTTATTTTCTTTCTTTGTCATCTCTTATACACATGATTTATAATGCCTAGTATTAATTCAATTAAATCACAATTAATTATAAATTCTTAATTATTTATTGTAATTATTAAATCTTTATTCTAATTCTAATTCTAATTATATTTTTGATCACAATTAATCCTAAATATTTAACTATTTATTGTAATTACTAACTTTTTAATCTAATTTTAATTTATTTATATTTTATATTACAATTAATCCTAAATTCTTAATTATTTATTATAATTTCCAACATGTCAATCTAATTTTAATTTAATTATAGTTTAGATCAATTCTTATTTATTGCTTATTTTATATTTTATTTAATTATATTTTAAATCAATTCTTAATTGTATATTATATTTTAGATCAATTATTAATTATATTATATTATATTATAATTAACATATTAATTTAATTTTAGGTTTAGAGAAAATAGAGGTAAAATTATCATTTTGTTGTATTAATTTCATTCTAATTTTTTTAAAAACAAAACTCACTCTAAAAAATAGTATATGTAATACACTTTCTGTTAATTTGGATGGAAAAACTATATCAGTAACACTTTAATCCAAACCATATAAGAGTTTTTTGATTATATTTGAATGACAAGGGAAGAAAGTACTCCAACCCCAAACTAAAAGGGAGTTGTAAAATGAATTTGACCAAATGTGATTTTAAATTGTGTCAAGTGATTTAGATAGTGGATTTTTATAAGATGACATTGCGAAAATGATAATTCACATAGTTTTGATATTTCAGGGTCCCATTGCTTGGATATTCTGTCAGCAAAGCAAAGTGATCCACAATGGTTGGTAATGCAAAGGAAGAGAGAGGTCAAAATCATTGAAAATTGGATCACAAAGTATTATGAGGATCTTCTTTTGTTCAAAAAATAAATTAAAAATTGTTGAGACTACTCCAATGTTGTTGAATTTAAATGGCCTGTGTCATTTTATGTTCCTCATCCTATTGTCAGTGATTGAGCCATTGTTATCATCCAAAATATAGCACATGGCAACCACATTTCTACTTCGACTATTATACAAATTAATAAATTTTATTTATTTATTATTGGGATGGGATACTTATTTCATTATTCAAGTGGTTCAGTTTTGCGAACCCCCTTCTTTCATTGATGTATCTTTAGGTCCCGTTTGTTTGGAGTTGTGGGGAGGAGATTAGGTTTGATAGTGAGAAGGGGATTGAGAATGAGGTGTTTGTTTTGAGAGATAGGGAGGGGATTAGTAAATCCATTGGTGTTAGTAAGGAGGAGAAAGGGGGATTGGTAAGGAGGAGGTAGAGATGGTATTAGCAAAATAGTGAGGGGATTAGAAATTTTTTTATTTTTTATATATTGGGATTTTTTTAAAATATAATGTTTATTTTTTTATATTTTTTTATTTGTTTTATTATTTTATATAAAAATAATTTAACAATTCCTCACTATTAATCCCCTCACTAACAATCCCCTCACTATTAATCCCCCCACTATCAATCCCCTCCATTCTATCTCCCAAAACAAACGGCCTCTTAGACTTCACATAAAAAATTTTTTTTCACTGTTAAAAAAAAAAAAAAAAAAAAGAGAAAAAGAAAAAGTGGTCCAATTTTAGATTCTAGTTGATTAAATTAAGGGTGAATTATAAATATACTTCTTGAGATTTTCTTAAAATATATATTGTTCTTTGTGATTTAAAAAATTACAAATACTCTATTATTGCAATTTTTTATTTAATAGAATTAACCGAAAAAAATGAAATCCTAATTACCTTCCAATACAATAATAAAAATATTTGAATTATTGATTAAAATATATTTCTGATATCATTAAAAATTATTAATTGACTTGATAATTTATTAATAGAGTTATGGTAGGACCCCAAATGAATTACCAAATATTCTACCAAACCTCACCACACCCATCTGAGAGGTTTGGTAGAATATTTGATAATTCATTTGGGGTCTATAGCATTTTCCTTATTAATAAAATGAGTCATTTATTGTGAAGTTAAAAATTTCAAGGGACGAAATATAATTTTCAAAACTATAAAAGGTGAGTTGTATTTTAAACAATCTTTAGAGATGTTTTTGTAATTTACCCTTAAATTAATTAGTAAATTTCTTATAATAATATTTATTACTTCATATAACATTTTTCTTATATTTCATAATTTTGGTCAAATGTGGCCAACGAAATGACAAACACCCTTTGCTTCCCACCACCTATGGTGCTTGGGGACCAAGAATAGATATTAGTGCACAAAATGTGACACTGCATCCATTTTAGATGCTACTTAAGAATCTCAATATGCAACACTTATTAAGCACGTGTCTTTTTTCCACCAGTCTTAATGCATTTTTCTTTATTAAATTATACCTCAAGATTTATGTGTCTCAATATTATCACATGACCTAAGGATGCATTGAGTCCCTGTGTTATATAATTAATTTAATAATTGTAATAAGATGATTTTAACGTATTTGTTTTTGAAATGTGGACAATATACCTGTTGTCCATTTTCCAAAAATAAATGCGAAAAACATTTAAGATTCATTTGTTTCAATGTAAAATATTTAAATAAGCAGAAAGAGCGAAAGAATAGGATAAACAAGCAAAGAATGGAAATAACTTGAAATAACTTGAAATAAATAACCTTGAAATAAGGCTTTAATTTAAAACTTACAATTAATTACTAAAAGCAGCTGGTAACTTCAAAATACATAACTTCAAAATAATTGAATTTTGAATATAAAATACAACTGAGAAGGTGAAAGGTGTGTATTCTCAATTCTTGAAAATCATGCCTTCTATCTGACTAAAGAAGCTTATTTATAGGAGAAGGAGATGACTATGAGGCTTGTGAGCCAATGTGAGTGGAAAGTAGGAGGCACATGGGCGCTGTCTGCTGCTTTCGGTGACTGATCGAGAGTTGTGTACTTTAACTTGTCTTTTTTTGTGAACAGTGAATAGTGACTTTTTTCTCTATTCATTTACTTTCGGTGGAGAGATGTGACTGCACGATTGACTGAAGGGGAATCAATATATATATATATATATATCAATAGCTTTTTTTCAAAGTAGGAGTAATGATTGAAGTTGATGTATATATGGAATCCAATGATAGTGCTTAGGCATATGGGTCTTGAGTATCTTGGAATTGTGGACCATATGGATCATGACTTGTGGAGGCTTCGGATAAGGCTGAACCATCAGAAGCATTGTCTTCATCTTGTGACTTGGCTTGGGCCAATAATAATTTTGCAATCTGGATGAGTTCTTCATTACTGGTCTTTGACTTGGGCTTTGCTTTGGGCTTGGACTTGGATGACTTGGATTTCGAAGGTTCAGAACTTGTTGGGCTTCCGAGTTTGACGGTGGTGAAAGGAAGTGGGCTTTTTTGAGTGACTGATGCAGTTGGGTTCTGCTTAAAAGACTTGATCATTGCTGGAGTAAGAGCATGAATATTGACTGGAAATTCCTGTTGGACTTGATCAATAATGCGATGAGTTTTGAATGCATCACACCATTTGACAAAATGTTGTCGAATGACTATGTTGTCTGAAAGATTGTATTGCCATTTAAATATCCAAAGGACTTTGTATTTGGACATAAAATGGAGTAAAATGGGGAATTGATTCTTGTGTTAACTTAGTTTGTAAACTGAAGAGAAATAAGTGACTTGTTCCATTAAATTAGAAGGGATACTATCTGAGATGACATCATGTTGAGACTACCATCTCAGAAACCAAGAAGGAAATTTTGACTTGAATTTTTGATCAAAAGAGAAAAACCAAGAGTGATTGAATGGCTCATTTTCATGCAAGAGGATTTTGAACCATGCATCAATGTAATCATAATAACTGTGTTGTATTTTATGATTTGAAAGATCTCAAAGTAAGAAAGGGAGACCCCATTCATCAAGGAATACAATATTGTGTATGTATAAAGAATGGTAGATGGTTTTACTGGCATTGACTCTATCATAAATAGGTTTAATGACTATGGATTTGTAGTGAAAAAGGGTATCTTTATAAAAAATAATTGACTTGTCTAGATGGGAAGGAATGAAATGCCATCCAGAAGTGAAATACATTTTTGCTAAGTCAATGACATTGTGACTGTTTTTGTGGACTGGCTCTTTGTAAAAAAGATTGGATGACTGAGGTTTAAGAACATAATTTGTTCTTGGGGTAGACTTGTATGGATAATTAGGGGGCATGAGAGTAATTGACTGACATGCAAACGGATTTAAAGCCAGTGTTGAAGTGTAACTAGGTTTAGGAATATTACCAAGGATTTGGTATCTGTTGACTAAATCAATAGGGGGAGCAATAATAGGTTGACTGGTTGGCACAATGGCAAGAGGTTTCGTAGAAGGTTTGTGGATTGACATCTGTAAGACAGAAATAGATTAGCATCTACTGAGGAGATCTAGTTTGTCAATATGGAAATTGAGAAGATTAGTGTAATGAGCAATCAAACTGCATTGACTTCGAATCTGTTGAAATTGAAGGTAAGGATCTTGGTCTATTGACTTTAAGTAAGATATTTTAAAAGCACAACAACGAATTAGTTTGCGATATCTGGTAATTTGTAACTTGTGGGTGGAAATATAAGGAGTAGGCATAGCACACTATTCCCCCTGTAAAAATTCTCGGGTAAGGAAATCAGGAATAGAATTTTGACTACTAGGAATGAAAAATCTAGAAATGCCCTAGATATTGATTTGTGATTATGTATCAATTTTAACTAGTAAATAATAATCCCAATCAAACAATCAAGACAAATCAACACAACAATTTTAATGTGGAAAAATCACAGTTGGAGCGCCTCCAATTGTAATAAAAAATCACTGGCAAAAGCTACAAAACAATCCACTATGAAGACATAAAGGAATTACACAAGTGTACTCTCAATTACCTAGTGAATTCACGTCCAAATTGAATCGACCCCTATGCGCCTCTTCCAACCCCATCTTCACGTCGGAATTGTCTTGCCCAATGTTGAATCCACAACGTCGATATTGAATCACGATGATGAGCCACTTCGGAATCCACTAAAACTTCAGTCTCAAATCCCACGGAATTCACCGAAGAACAATTCTTTCTTTTATATTGAATGAAACAAACAATTCTTTGATGTATACTTTTCAAACCATGAGTTAAACTCAAACAAACATCCAAGAAACTAGCAAAGAAGCTCTAGATGAAAACCCTATCCAAGAAGAAGATTTGGAAGCTGTAACCCTAAAATTTGACTGAAATGCATATTTATAGAAAACATATCTGCGATCTCCGCTCAAGCGCAAGAATGGCCGCTCGAGCGGACCTCGCTCGAGCGCAGGAAAGTTCAGTTGAGCATAAAATCCCAACTCCCAGTACTTTTGCAGATAGGTCAAACTTCTAGAACCAAACATTCTTCGCTCGAGCGCACAAATGACCGCTCGAGTGGACAAGCAACTTTGACTGTATTTTTGCTTTTTTCTTTGGGGGTGCTGCCTTCGACCCCGTCTGGGTGCTGCCCTGGACCCCCCAAGGGGCGTTGCCCCCTGGACCCCCGCGAGCTGACTAGGTGGCTCGATCCCCGACATAGTCAGCGAAGTGGCAAACATGATAGAATTAAGATCACAAACTCCTCTGCATAGGCACAATTCGGGTTGGATTCGCATTTAAAACTCATAGCCTCACTGAAATAAAAAAATATCTAATAAAATTACAACTGAAAAGAGTTTTGTCAAATGGGATTGTTAAGAATAAAAACCTAACAAGGAATATATTCAATGTCAAAATAAAAAATATTTAAAATAGATTGCCAACGGGCAAAAATATGCTTATTAGCAATATTTTGAACATTCTTTTCTAAAACATATTTAGCACTTTTACAATTAACACGTATTAAGAATTTTTGATTTAAAATATCGTCTTGAAATTTACTAATACATAATACAATAGATAAAATTTCTTTTTTAATAGTAATATAATTTTGCTGTGTTTTGTTACAAACACCAGAATGAAAACGGACAATTTGTTCAAATGACTTAGGAGTGATTTTCTGAAGAACGATGCCACCATAACCA